GGGGGGGGGTAAGGATGCAGTGCCCATGAGAAGCTGAGAAATGCCTGAAAAAAACACTAGGTTTGAGAGAGAAATATAGTAACTTTCGAATTTCTTTAACAGAAAAACGTGTTGATTTCCGTTCATTAGGCTACAAGGCTGAAGCTCAGACACGCAGGGCCTCGTGTTCGTCAAATCACGTGACAAGACAGCCGGCCGGCAGAACAGATCGCCATTAAAGCATCTTCCGTCCACTGTTAAAAGGGCGATGTCACGGATTACGCCCCGTCCCACCCTCTCCACATTCACACTCAGGAAATCCTGATTGATAACGGTAGACAACGTTTGAACTATTTATAGAAATCTACTAGATTCTAGATTTTTTTTAAAGAATGGGGTGATAAAAAAAGATACGGGCGCAAGAAGATGTTCAACAAGAATGATAAGGGCATAGATGTGCCCGTAATTCACAACAATAGTTTTATGGTATATAGATAAAACATTTATCCAATCGCAAAAAAAATATCTCTAAGTTATAAGCCTAGCACTGACCTTAACAAAAATCCTGTGTATTCCTTACTAAAAGCCCTAATAATATAATTAACCCGGATGCTAATTAATATTCATTAGCGCAGGAAAAAATACACTTGATATTCACCTACATTTTTACTAGAATCGTTTTTTAATGACTGAAGTGATTTATATGTAACAAGACATACATTTTATAAATCGAAAGAACGAGATCTTTTTTACTCCAGCTACTATTAGTTTAGCACCCCCCCCCCCCCACTCCTGGAGTTTTTAAGGCGAAGAAAAACTCCCCATCGATATACCAATCCTCTTTACATAATTTCTCCCTACCAGGGAACAAAACGATTGGCTGGCTGCGTGATCATTCGCGCGTGACTAGCGTGTATTGATTGGTTTTGTCATCTCGACAAACAGGGACATAAAAATCCATTTCTTTGAAACATTAACTAGTTTCATTGAGACATCTAGAAACTTCATTGTCGTTTAACCCTGTTCTTTTTAAGAGTATACATAACATCAACTAGCGCCAAAATTGATTTTTTTTTCTTTCTGAGACGGCATCAAATAAAACGGTCGAGTTATACAACAAATCTATTATTTTAGGTTGAAATCCCCTAGAGAACAAGCGTACCAGGAGTAATTTTGTTTGGGGTGTGGTGGTGGTGGGAGGGGGGGGGGGGAAAGGGGGTTGTTCAATCAATTCACTTGTTTTATATCTTTGGTTTGCCCCCCCCCCCCCCCCCCCCAATCACCTAATAAAAATAATCGACGATAAAAACCAATAAAATAATAGCTTTCATATGGATGTTAATTTTCTATGTATGAATGAAACAAGACTTATTTCATACCTGAAGGTCTACGGGGCAGGTATAGTAGATTACATCCGCGTAAGTGACCTCGGCGTATGAAAGGATAGTGCGATCAACACTATGTCCATCCGCCTTAACTTTCCCTTACATCAGAGTTGGGTGGATTCAGGGACATTACGGACTTGGACCCGGGATTCGATCTCGAGACATTCAGGTTAGCAGTCGTATGCTCTACTGTCCGACCACACCTTCCCACGTTTTTTTTCTTTGTACATTTAGCAATTAATGAGCTATGTTTTTCAAAGACAAACTTCGGCTAAACAATAAATGTATACATGAATGCGATTCTTCCAACATGAAAAAGCCAGTTGTCTAGACGAAAAATCGATAAAGTTCGATTCTTCTCTGGGGGGGATGTTTTATCAGGTATAAAAGCTATTTAGGTGGGGATCTGTCATTGTCTGAATCATTTATTTTCAAGGTGAAACACAGTAATGGCGGCGAGGTGGAATGGGGGGGGGGGTTAAGTATTCGATCAATCCGTGTATTAAAATACGCGCGTATTGATCTCTAAATGCAATAGCTTTAATCTTGCTCAATTAGTTGTGTTGTGCGTGTTTTATGAAAGCAATTATTTGATGTGGCAGTTATTTGACTGATTGTTTATCATGCTCTTGCTGTATGATTGAATGTTTTCCCATCGGCATTGTTGAGTGATCGACATTTTATTCTATATAAAATGACTGACAATTGACGCTGTATGATTGATATTACAGGGGAATGATTGACAATTGACGCTGTATGATTGATATAACAAGAGAATGATTGACAATCGACGCTGTATGATTGACTGTTTTCACATTGGATGTTGCATGTTCGACCATTTGTTGACAAAAGATTGTTGCATGATTGATTTTTAACATGTGCTTGTTGTGTGATTGACTATTTAACATATTTTTGTTTTATGATTTTATGATAACTGTATGATTGACAATGCACATTGTGACTGTATGATTGATAATTCACGCTGTGCTTCTTGTATGATTGCCAGCCCTGTGATTACTGTATGATTGATAATTTGCCCTGAGATAGTTGTTTGATCGACTATTTTTTTTTTGTTTGATTGACAATTTGACCTCTGTGTGATTGATCATTTACCATGTGCTACTATTGTTACATTGACTTGTCCCCCTGTTTAAAAAAAAATGAAAGAATTTTATACCAGAGAATCAAGTCCTGAATATAATTATTTTAATCACCTGCGTTTAAAAAAAAGTTCAAGCAGAAAATTGAAATCTTCAGAGAGCCATTTTGGAATGCCAACTTGTAAAGTAAATATCACGCGGAGAATTTCAAATCGAGCGGTGCGGTGCCTGTTCTTGAGTGTAAATATATCACTCCGCGAGATAATCGGTTCTATTTCTGTAGTTTAGACCCGCGCGCGTGGCACCTAGCAATTTGCTGAAACATTGGCGAATACGATCCTCCCCTCCAAGGATTAAAAAAGAGATACATTTTCTTAAAAATCTGGCCAGCGGATACATTTCTGCTCCAGAATTTCTTCACAAGGTTGCAGTAACCGGCCCGCATTAATACCCTTTCAGTTTTTTTAAAACATTATTTTTTTTTTAAGAATTCTTCCTATAGCCTCTAATTTATAAAGAAACATTTTCCAAGAGTTTTTCATGTTTGAAGACAGTTTTATTTTTATCTGTTTTGTTTCATTATTTGTTAAAGAAGTTTAGGAATTTCAAATATTTTTAAGCAATATTTATTGTTTTCTGTCATATGCCAAAGACGACAGTAAAAAAAAAGAAGAAAGGAAAGATAAACAGAAATGAAAACTGTAAATATCTTAAATAGTTGGGGAAAAAAATAAAGCCTTTTCCGCAAGAATCGAAATGCTGACAACACATATTTAAGAATACGTGAATGTTTTAAAAATCTAGCTTGCAACTTAGTAAAAGAAATTGGCTGAATTGGGACAGCTTTAATGACAGTGATGTTATTTGCTTCAAAACATTGACTAATCACTTAAAAAAAAAGATAACCTACTTTTTCAACATTTTTCTTTTATCGAATTCAATAAAATAGACGCTTATTGACTATGAAAATTCAATTTCAATATATAAAAAGAGACCTTTCATGGCCATGAACGTTCAAATCTCAAATAAATACTTATTGACTGTAAAATGATTATAACATTCTATTAATAAAATCATCGATACTTAACTATAAAATTTCAAAGTATAAACAGATACTTAATTATTACGAAAATTCGAAATATACAATAGATACTTAATGACTATAAAAATCCATAGCATAAATGGATGCTTAATTACTGTAAAATTTCAAAGTAAAAAAATAGATATTTAAATTCTATGCAACTTAAGGTATAAAATAGACAATGACTATGCAACTTCAAGGTATGAAATAGACACATACTGACTATTTACTCATAAGAATCCCACACTGGCACATAATCATCATAAGCTATCAAGTTAATTACTGTGTACACTTCTCAGTTAATTACTGTGTACACTTCTCAGTTTAGCGCGACGCAACGATTACCAAGCCGGGGTCGGGTTATTAAGTCATAATTCTAGCTGTCATCCAGTTCATTTTAAGCTTGCGGATCGTTGACATATGTTTGTGTCTATGAGTAGCATGTGCTAAAAAAATACATTTTAAAATGTCGGGGTGCGTCTAATGGAAGTTAAGGAAAAATAGGTTATCTTTCAAAATGTGTTGATCTTAATTCGTCTTGTTCTACATTCATTAAAATACTGACTCGCGGTATGTTGTTTTTAAAGTTTACTACGCCCTAAGGCTGATAAAAGAACTGAAGCCAACAGGGATTTCTTGGGAGATGGCAAAATTAATATCCGTGGATCGGACGAAATAGAAGTAAATGGTGGAGGCCCTATGTTCTATAAGGAGCAAAGAGGACTAAGTCAAGTAAGTCAAGGCTGACAAAAATAAAAATAAAACCCCACTATAAAACATAATATATAAATTATGATATTCTCAAGGATGGAGTACAGAGGAGACTCATTAACATTTCTTTCAAGCATCGCTTCACCCCCCCCCCCTCCCCATCCCCCGAAGCACTTATACCGCCACCCAAGACGAAACAGAAAAGAGCACAAAGAATACTTTGTTTAGAGCCCCTCCCCCTCCCCCTCCCCCTCCGGAAATAAAAGTGAGCCCCCATCCCGAACATTTCAAGTGCCTTCCACGGAGAAAGATCCTGCCAGACCCCCCTTCAACTCACAATGGCCCAGGTCATGTCTGCCCCCCCCCCCCAAAACACACTCACCCCCACCCCCCACCCCCCTGACACTTACATCAAGAAACTCCGGCCTGGCATTGTACGTCATGTGCCTGTGACCCAGGTCATGTCTGACCCCCCCCCCACCTGAAACTTACATCAAGAAACTCCGGCCTGGCGTTGTAGGCCATATGCCTGTGTCCCAGGTCATGTCTGCCCCCCCCCCCCCCCCACACTTACATCAAGAAACTCCGGCCTGGCATTGTACGTCATATGCATATGCCTGTGCCCCAGGTCGTGTCTGACCCCCCCCCCCACACTTACATCAAGAAACTCCGGCCTGGCATTGTATGCCATATGCCTGTGTCCCAGGTCATGTCTGACCCCCCCCCCCCCCCCCTGACACTTACATCAAGAAACTCCGGCCTGGCATTGTACGCCATATGCCTGTGCCCCAGGTCGTGCAGCAGGGCGATGACCTTCTCCTGACTGTCCAGACGGGCCACGACCTTCTCCACGGCGCCCATGACCCTCAGCACGTGCGAGCGCAGGGCGGTGCTGGCCTTCAGTTCCTCGGCCGTCTTGTCCTGGAACGACAGGAACGTGCCCCTGATGCCCGGGTCCTCGAGAAGCCTGCAAGAGATGAAAGTTAATTAATTAAACCCGCGACGTAAAATTAATTAAGAGCGTCCGCCTCGAACACATCGTATCCGAAGAAATGAAGAAGAAAAAATTTTGACGTGCTTCGGAGTCATTCAATTTTCTTCTCAACAAAGTGTCCGTAGCGTCTGTCTTCACAATATGCCATCCACGGTATCCATTAACAAGAAATTATGTTCTATTCCAGGTGAAGAGTACAGTCAGGGGTTCCGCAGCCGGAAGGGCCGAATGCTGTTTAAACTTTGCGTTTTTTTTTCTTTGACATTATGGAGTGGTTCCAAATGTTAATTAGCCAGCGAAGTCTGTGCTTTATTTATAAAAGTGCGCTTTGCTGTAACTGATGCTATGGGGGTTATTGGGACAAATTTTATCATGGCGTTGTACTGTGCGTGTTTAAAGTATTCGTATGAAAATAAAATTGTTATTATGTGCGAGCTAAAAGTGTTCGTGTGAAAATAAAAGTACTGTGCGTGTAAAAAGTATTCGTGCAAAATAAAATTACCGTACAAAAAGTGTTACAGCTAAAACCGAAATTAGAAGGATGTCTCCAAATTACAATAGTAAACTAACACACGTATGGAAATATTTGCCACTTTCTTTATTTTTGTCTTACATAACTAAAAGCTTTCTGACACGGCCTTGGCGACTTGGCTGCTATCGATAACAGGGCACTGCTATCGATAAATGGTATTGTTCTGTTTATACAGAAAGGGGGAAAGAGCTTAATCAAACATATACAATCTTGAAAGTTAAAGCTTACATTCGAAAAGAAACAATATGTCTTTGCGCATCAGTGTCATGTTGCGTGTTTTAAATTAGTTTCATTTCATATTTTATAAAATATTGAATTATTTGCACTTCAACTGTGAAGAAAAACGGATAATTACAGACCAGGAAATTGTAAAATCTTTAAAATGCTTGTTGTCATTGATTGTCACCACTCAAAGACTGAGGGAATAAAGTGCGTGTGTTCGGATGTAGGAAGTATAGATAAAACTCCGTCTCTTTGAAGATCTGACGGCAGAGTGTCCACGGGAAAAAAATAGAAAAATTATCTGTTTGAAAAAAAAGATAAATTAATTGGATAATTTTGCTGACCAAAGCGTTTACCGGTAGAGTGCTTACAACAGAGTAATTCTTGCAATTAGCTTTCATCCCCCCCCCCCCCCATATCACGCTTGTCCATTTTTTTCCGATACTGGGTATCAATTAAATAGTAGTCTAATAAACGCTCGTAAAATGTGAAGGATAAATATTTTTAGTTTTTAATACCTCAATATAATAAGTATACGCGCATGGTGCTTTTTTTTCTTGCGCAACAAATAGGTAAGAGTGCATCCTACAAAATTTAAGCGATTATCTTAAATTCTTGCTATAATAATCAACTTGACTATTGGTTTCGGGAAGTCGTCACAAAGATTCCTGGAGAGTGCTTTAAGATGACTACGACAGAACAGCAAAAAAAAAAAAAACGCTGTCGGCTATATGAAATTTTTTTTTGTTGCTTCTCTGAATGCAGTGGCATCTACAATAACTTTTAAAAGGGCGATCATTCTGTCAATCATTTAAGGGAAAATGGTGGATGCGATGTTATTTTATTTTAATAGGTAGAGGACTAACACCATTTATATACTTTGTAATGCATACAATGTAATATGATTTTTAAAATTCCACTGTTAGTCTCGTGATTTATAATTTTGATCATTCGATGAGAGTAAATTAGCTTGCTTTATGTGGGGCCTACTCCCTTCGATGTGAGTAAATTAGCTTGCTTTATGTGGGGCCTACTCCCTTCGATGTGAGTAAATTAGCTTGCTTTATGTGGGGCCTACTCCCTTCGATGAGAGTAACTTAGCTTGCTTTATGTGGGGCCTACTCCCTTCGATGTGAGTAAATTAGCTTGCTTTATGTTGGGGCCTACTCCCTTCTATGTGAGTAAATTAGCTTGCTTTATGTGGGGCCTGCTCCCTTCGATGAGAGTAAATTAGCTTGCTTTATGTGGGGCCTACTCCCTTCGATGAGAGTAAATTAGCTTGCTTTATGTGGGGCCTACTCCCTTCGATGTGAGTAAATTAGTTTGCTTTATGTGGGGCCTACTCCCTTCTATACTCAACGATATTGAGGGCGTGAATTGCTGTCGTGTATAGGGCTGGTAAGTGGGTCGCCAACCTGTTCTATGGCTCATTCAGGTTTTATTGAGCCGTAGAACTGATTGGTGACCTACTTACAAACCCTATTGCGGGCGCGTATTGAGGGCTGTCCGGCTAAAAAGTTTACAGCTGTTTTAAAATGTTCACAATCTATTTTTAAAAGCGACTCTAAAACATTATCAGTTCATACACCCAGGTACAGGGGGGGGGGGGGGGGTCAAAGAAAAACCACTCACCCCATGAACATGACCACGCCCACTCGCTCTATATCCGTCCGGATAATCTTCCACGACTCGACCACGATGGCCTGGGTCTCGGGCGACAGGACGGGGGTGGCGTCGGGGATTCCCCTCATGCTAGACGACGACATCTCCTCGCCCTCGGCGTTACACAGGTAGATCTTCTTGTTTGTTTCCTTCATCTTCTCCGAGAATCCGAATTTTTCACTGATCTCCTTTGAACAGCTCAGACCCATGATGTGAGAATTTACAAAATTAACTTCCGTATGCCACTTCTGAACAGCGATTTTAATTTCACGATTGTTATTACTAGACGAATTCCGAATTTAATAAATTCACATGTTTAAAGTCGACAAACTTTAAAAAAAAACTTCACTTCCGTTCTACTGTTAAACAGCGATTTTAATTTCTCGATTGTGTTATTATTTAGACGAAACCAGAATTTAACAAATTCACATGTTTTAAGTCGACAAACTTAAAAAAAATACAATTTCACATTTTCTGCTGATAAAAACATACACTTTTCCTGAATACTGTTTTAAGAATTTAAAGCTCCAATATCAATTCTTTTGTAAAGGCTTCCCAGCTAACCTTCACTAAGTAATCTCGTTCACCGACTGTCTACAACTCTAGCGTGTGCCGTGCACGTAAAGTGAGTACAACCGCACACAGTACTGCTCACAGCTGGTGCCGTCTCCTGTTTAGTCATGTCATGTTTTTCTCGTCCCCATGTACCTTGGAGGGTGGGGGTAGGGGGGGGGAGGTTAAGACAGACGACTCACGTTTGGCGCTGTCTGCCTTACCTAGCGCGTGGACGCTCACCTGACGCCCTACCTGCTGCCCACCTGGTCGACACCAAAGGTAAACACCAGCACGGTCAGCTGGTGTGAGACCTTACGTGAAACGTCATCGCCTTCTCGTGACGTCACACGGTTGTTTACTTTACAAGCGTGGCTCATTTACTTTTTGAAACTTAGTCAGGAAACATCTGATTACATTAGAAGTTGGCGGTTTTTTTTGACGTCTTGTATGATGTAATACTTGGTGTCTTGAGCAATTCACTTTTTTGACGTCTTGTATGACGTAATACTTGGTGTCTTTAGTAATTCACTTTTTTGACGTCTTGTATGACGTAATACTTGGTGTCTTGTGCAATTCCCTGGTTTTTTTGACGTCTTGAATGAAGTATTACTTGGCTTTTTGTGCGATTCACTTTTTTGACGTCTTATATGAAGTAATACTTGGTGTTTTGTACAATTCACTTATTTGACGTCTTGTATGAAGTAGTACTTGGTGTCTTAAAAATTCAATGTTTTTTTGACGTCTTGACAAAAATGATAATCCTGTCTTGACTGGGGTACTTTTTGTTAATAAGCAATTCGTCTCAATTAAAAGTTGGCTTTCATGTTTTGAGTACTCGATTCATTTCTTGACTGGTACTGAGATCCTCGATTAGTTAATGAAGAACTGAAATTTAAATAAAAAAGTTAAGCTGTAGAATACTTTACATATAAATAACTTATGTTGGCTTTAACGCACATCTCATTAATTTTGCAAAATTAAAAAGCAGTTTTTAATAGTTCAAAATGAAAAACGTTACTAAAAAGATACTCATACATAACATAACAACACACTGAGTTCAACGCTTGGTTAAAATAGTGAGGTCTGCTACAAGACTGGGCATATTTGGGATGTTATAATGTTAAATGTTCGTCAGCGGTTATAAGAAAAGGGGGAGGTATGTCTAAACTACGTAGTGGGATACCTAGATTATGTGATGATATCTACATTACGTGGTGATATTCTTAGATTACCTGGTGATGCAAATACATGGTGATACATGTATATTAAGTGGTGACACACCTGGGATACGTGATGGTATTTCAACAAACACAACAATTGTTACAAAAACTAGTGTATAAACGATACTTAATTTATAATTTACAACCAAGTTGTATGTTGTTGTTTTTCAAATACGAATCAATAGCTTAAAGTAAGTGGAAATGAATATCTAGAAAAACTGAAGTATAATATCGTATGAATCCGTCAAACCAAAGCATACATAAGTGACTCTTGAGATAAACTCATGTTATGTCATAGTAACTTAAACGTTATTGATCTCATACACTCTCTGCAGGTTACCTGAGCCGTGGTACCAGCAGGCTCCCCCACCCCCACCCCTACATACACGTTTATAAATTCGCTTCTCTCTCTCCGAGGATCTGAGACTTCTCCTGATCTATAATTACAATCTTGTGTGAAGTCCTGGGAGGGAGTTTTTTTTTTTTTGGGTTTATCTTGTACGTGTTAAAACTCGAGGAACGTTTACCACTACAGATGGGTCAGTAAAAACGCAATGCTTATATAATGCTATCCTGTACATACTACCATAACATTACATCTAACAAATGTGTCAGTATAATGTAATGTTGTCTATAATAATATACAACTATAACATTACATGTAACAGATGTGTCAGTAAAAAACGCAATGCTTACATTACATACAATCACAACATTCCTAATAACAGAAATGTCTGTAAAACTATAATTTTATCCATTACATACAACCATAATATTACATATAAAAGATGTGACTGTTGAAATTTAATGTTGTCCACTACATACTTTCATAACATTACATATAACAGGTGTGGCAGTAGAAATGTAATGTTACACATTACAATCTTACATAAAAACATAACATTACAATTAACAGACGTATGTTTACAAATATAATGTTGTTTATTACATACTACCATAACATTACATATAACAGTAGAAATGTAATTCTATCATAACATTATATTACATAGTTGTGTACGTAGAAATGCAGTTCTATACGTTAAAATAAAATATCACTTCTATGTCATAACATAATGTTAGATGCTTACATTCTATACAGCTGTTGTCAGTGGCGAGTCTAGGGCGGGCAGAGGGGTCGAAGGCCCCCTCGGCATTTTTTATCTCTCGTGTAAATGTATTCGACGTGAGGGTGGAATCAATATTCATCCAACCCTTTCAATTGATCTATATACACGTCAATGGGGAGCGCCTGCCTTCCACTCTGTAATGTGCTGCTACGCCTTTGGCATATCTTACAACGAGTTCAATTTTTTTCTATTTGTCTCTTGTTTCTGTGGATCACGACATCTTTGATTCGATGTGAATCTTTAATTTACAATTTAAAAAAAAAAAATTAAAATCTCGTGCATTATGACGTGTGAGCTGAAACATTCTTTGATTAAATCTAATAAGAGAAATGCTGAAAAGATGTTTGCTATCACTGACCAAACAAGAAAGGAATATTTTTTTTAAATGTAGGACGGCTGAAATTTATGTCGCGATGCTCAGGTTAATGACCTCTTGTTTTTCTGGTTTGATGAGATTTTTAACGATCCAGGCGTCTCAGGTGAAGGTGATAAATTGTAGAGATGGCACGGGCACCCCCCCCCCCCCCCCAATATAGATCAAGGCAGGTGGGGCGGCTTGACTAACATATCGATAACTAATTTTGGATTGGGTGGGGGAAGGGGGGGGGGGGGTAAAAATACACCGTAAAAAATAAAATTTACAATCGATTAGGTTTTCAGATCATTTCATTGAGACTGTGTTTTGGTGTTTAGGATTTAAAAAAAAATTAACATCACTTTTTATATAACGAAGTTTCCGTTCTTGGATGACAGAGAAACAACCTACGCAAATAGTTTTTTAGCCTAGCCTATATAGGTTTCTATAGACAATTTTATACATACATTTGTACGGGAAGTGGGGAATGAGGATGTCAGTCAACCTGGGATATATATATATATATATATATATATATATATATATATATATATATATATATATATATATATATATATATATATATATATATATATATACATATATATATGCATATATACATAGAGAGAGAGAGAGAGAGATAAGGATAAAGATAGAGATATAAAGATGCTGTGTACGATTTATTAGCAGAACATATGTTATCTGTTTATGCATGTGTGTATACTTACGCAGAGAAAGCCTATATGCAAATGTATGTAATGATATGTGTTGGAAACTAGTGTAATTAGCTGTGTGTTAAAATTTTCAAACATATTATACAACTTAAGTACAAAACAAAAGACAGGAACAGGGTACGCGGCCTAGATTGGAGGAAGAAATCAATAACGAGTTCTCGCCATACAGCAAGGGGAATCCCCTGAGTTTATTTTTAGACGATGACCTTCCTTGTGGACTACCGTTTTAAACAAAGTGTTGTGTGTTCCAATTATCAATCGTCTGTGAACGTTTTTTTTTTAAATGATATACTTCCTGTCAAATCAGAGATTATTTTACAAAATGAGTTTGAACACAAAAAGATTAGTTTCCGAGTTACAAAATAAACAAACTTGGCCTACTTTTTAAGAAACCAAGCTAACCTGATCTATTTTTAGATCCTTAGTATTACCAGCACGGCGTATTTCCTACGTTGTCGGATGATAAAAACACCGGTTCTCTGGTCACTGTGAGGCAATGTCGTCAAGTAACTGATTGGGAGACGTTGTATCGATGTGCTGATTAACATCGAACAGATATAGGGAATTAAAGGGTGGATAGTAGGTGTTCAGGACTATAAGAATACAGGTAAGAAATCATTCATTTACAGTGTCGGTGTCAATAAGCCAACAGGCAAACTCGTTCAGATACATGCGAGTAGGCCTACCTCTTTGTCCAGGGTATGTGTCTATGGGCCAACAGGCAAATTCATTCAGCTAGATGTATGTGAGAGTAGGCCTACGTATGTGTCCAGGGTATGTGTCTATGATGAGCCTACAGGCAAGTAGACATTCAGCTTCAGGTATCTGTGTCAATGTCTGTGTCTGTCTGTCAGTAAGTCTACAGGTAAGAAGACATTCAGCTACAGGTATCTGTGTCAATGTCTGTGTCTTTGTCTGTCAGTGAGCCTAGAGGTACGAAGACATCCAGTCTATGTGTGTGTGTAGGTCTGTGTCGATCACCTTACAGGTAAATAGACATTCAGGTACAAGTAGACATGCGTATGTCTGTGTCCACGACTGTGTCAATTAGTATACAGGTTAAAAAAAATCACTCATCAACACTACAGGTATCTAAGTCAGTATCTATGAATCTAGAGGCAAGAAGATAGTTATATATATATGTCTATGTTAAGAAAAGTTATATTTGACGGACAACACCGGACACCTTTTACTAATAGGGTTGTAACACAAATACTCCTCATGTAAGAATATCAACAACAATTATTATTATATTAGCTAACCCTAACCCTAACAGATAACATAATCCTAACACAGCTGTTCTAATCTAACCTTTACAGTAACACACCCACCCTACCCCTCACACACACATACACGCACACACACACGCACAACTGATAACACTTAAAGTTACGGTTTCTAAAAATAAAACTTCAAAATAAAAATTATGATAATTTCCCACATGCAGCACTAAATCGTATGGCAAACAGATTAAAGTGTTTAATTAAAAATATAACACCTCAGTTCCAAAATAAACTTTAAGATAGGACACGCCCCTTTCATTCCACGGTAACCATTAAAATATTCCCCACTCAACTACTTAAATAAGGACCAAACTATATTTTTAAAAACAAAATATCACTGATTACAATTAGAATTGTCAACGGTATTTACGAAAAGATAAAAACAATCACAAGGAAAGTCGCTAAGGTGTCCGGAAGATTAACTTTGATCATAATGTTTCAACTCGTAGTTTCGCTGTCTGAGAATTCAAAGGTCTTAATAGACATTTTAGTTCCTTTTCCTTACTAGATCGTTGGTGTAATCGCAGTTTAGTGTATTTATTTGATTCATTCATCCCAAATGTTAATCTCCACTCACGGCCATACAAATACCACGGGTGTCTAAGTAAAATACAGAGTCTAGACGATTCTTAATATGTAATATACAGATAAGATATTAGTTGTGAAAAGTTTTTGATAAGGTCAAATGATATATTAATTTTTTTTAAATAAAAAAATAAAAAATAATTATTATAGTTGTCTCCCTTGTTTTTTAAAAATTACAGTTAAGTGCCTTTAAGGTTAACACTGCTGACCCACATAATATAAAGTGTGTGTGTGTGTTTGGGGAGGGGGGGGGGTGAGTTCTGAAAGAGGCTTTAGTGCTGCTAGGTGGAAATTTCTGGAGACGGTTTTGTTTAAAAGTCTGGAACGATTTCACTCATCGATGGGCAACTGAACATAAACTATTAGCCCACATGGGCAACTGAACATAAACTATTAGCCCACATGGGCAACTGAACATAAACTATTAGCCCACATGGGCAACTGAACATAAACTATTAGCCCACATGGGCAACTGAACATAAACTATTAGCCCACATGGGCAACTGAACATAAACTATTAGCCCACATGGGCAACTGAACATAAACTATTAGCCCACATGGGCAACTGAACATAAACTATTAGCCCACATGGGCAACTGAACATAAACTATTAGCCCACATGGGCAACTGAACATAAACTATTAGCCCACATGGGCAACTGAACATAAACTATTAGCCCACATGGGCAACTGAACATAAACTATTAGCCCACATGGGCAACTGAACATAAACTATCAGCCCACATGGGCAACTGAACATAAACTATTAGCCCACATGGGCAACTGAACATAAACTATTAGCCCACATGGGCAACTGAACATAAACTATTAGCCCACATGGGCAACTGAACATAAACTATTAGCCCACATGGGCAACTGAACATAAACTATTAGCCCACATGGGCAACTGAACATAAACTATTAGCCCACATGGGCAACTGAACATAAACTATTAGCCCACATGGGCAACTGAACATAAACTATTAGCCCACATGGGCAACTGAACATAAACTATTAGCCCACATGGGCAACTGAACATAAACTATTAGCCCACATGGGCAACTGAACATAAACTATTAGCCCACATGGGCAACTGAACATAAACTATTAGCCCACATGGGCAACTGAACATAAACTATTAGCCCACATGGGCAACTGAACATAAACTATTAGCCCACATGGGCAACTGAACATAAACTATTAGCCCACATGGGCAACTGAACATAAACTATTAGCCCACATGGGCAACTGAACATAAACTATTAGCCCACATGGGCAACTGAACATAAACTATTAGCCCATATGGGCAACTGAACATAAACTATTAGCCCACATGGGCAACTGAACATAAACTATCAGCCCACATGGGCAACTGAACATAAACTATTAGCCCACATGGGCAACTGAACATAAACTATTAGCCCACATGGGCAACTGAACATAAACTATTAGCCCACATGGGCAACTGAACATAAACTATTAGCCCACATGGGCAACTGAACATAAACTATTAGCCCACATGGGCAACTGAACATAAACTATTAGCCCACATGGGCAACTGAACATAAACTATTAGCCCACATGGGCAACTGAACATAAACTATTAGCCCACATGGGCAACTGAACATAAACTATTAGCCCACATGGGCAACTGAACATAAACTATTAGCCCACATGGGCAACTGAACATAAACTATTAGCCCACATGGGCAACTGAACATAAACTATTAGCCCACATGGGCAACTGAACATAAACTATTAGCCCACATGGGCAACTGAACATAAACTATTAGCCCACATGGGCAACTGAACATAAACTATCAGCCCACATGGGCAACTGAACATAAACTATTAGCCCACATGGGCAACTGAACATAAACTATTAGCCCACATGGGCAACTGAACATAAACTATTAGCCCACATGGGCAACTGAACATAAACTATTAGCCCACATGGGCAACTGAACATAAACTATTAGCCCACATGGGCAACTGAACATAAACTATTAGCCCACATGGGCAACACGACGTAAACTATTAGACCACATGGGCAACTGAACATAAACTATTAGCCAAAATGAGCAACACAACGTAAACTATTAGCCCACATGGGCATCATAAAATAAACTATTAGCCCTCTTGGACAACTGAACACAACTTGTTAGCGATGTCTATAGACACCTTGACCCTAAAGGGGGAGAACTTTTTTTATGACTTAAAGCTTTCCTCGATGTTTTCATGACATCACGCTATTTTTATACTCTAGCGTACCAGAGAGTTAGGATAAAAAATCCGAGACTTCAAAAGCCGTCAATCAGCTATATAGACATCACAAATCGATTAGGTCAACATCAAAAGGAAAATTGCTAACCGTATTATGACAAGGAACTTTATCCAGATAATTAACAACTGATTAAAAAGTGGGATTTTTATTTTGAAGAGTCATTCTGTGGTATCGCACCGGATTTAACCCCACCTTGTGACGCAACTAATTTTTTTTTATTAAATTATAATTTTTTTTCTTCCAATGAAAGTGGTGTTTTTTTTTTAATTACTGTCTTCTATTCAGACCAGGGGCGGAACTACCATACCGCCAGACCCCGCAATGCGGGGGGGGGGGGGGGGGGGCCAGGACGTTTAGGGGCCCAGTTCCGACCAAAAAACATTGAATTTTTTTTTCAAAATTTATGAAAGTGGTTTTGTAAAAAAAAAAAAAAAAAAAAAAAAAAAAAAAAACAGGTCTACTAAAGCAGAGATTGTTGCGTAGAAAGATATTTTAAAATCTACAAGAGCTATAGTTTGAAAGGTAGTTAAACATTCACACTACTTCCATGACTTACTGCTCTTCTTTAAAATAGGGATGCCCACAAAGCTCATTTAAATAGTTTTGTACTATGTATATTAAAAAGCAATTGATTCTCAGAATTGTTATTAAAATAAGACGTACTATACAATAGTATAGATATAAAAATCAATGTTTTCGAAATTGATATTATAAAAGCCAAAAATGAAAACAATAAACATAACGCGAGAAACCATTCACGAATCAAGCTAACGTCTTTATATATTTTTGACCATCATTTTAATGAAGACTCTGCCATACATATTATAAGTTTCGACTAAATTTTTTCTGGTTTGCTCTCAGAATGGTTAAACATTATATATATATATATTAAACATTATATATATATATATATATATATATATATATATATATATATATATATATATATATATATATATATATATATATATATAGGGGGCCCTAATTTTTTCTTTGCGGGGGAGCCTTTTTTTTCTAGTTCCGCCACTGATTCAGACCTTGTAAGTAAGTGTAATTAAAAGGTTAGAAGTGGTAAAGAACTTTTTTTTTTGTTCAGTGGTCGCCAGAATCCCCTCACGCAAAACTGGTATGAATCATTTTGATCGCTTTTCTAAAGCTTAGATTTTATAAATTAAAAGTATCAATCATTCGGTGAAAAGAATTTTCTTTAAAATAGCATTGAAGAATGGATTTAGCGAAGAACATTATTTAATTTTAAATGTTGTTTTTTTTTTAATTGGATTCCCGCTACGAAGTTGTTCGTTAAACATGTGTTGTTTGAAAAAAAAAAATCTTCCTTTTAAAAATACTTTGGCTTAGCTAGGGAATCCATTTCGAAAGTTGAGTGGATTTTTACCTGAACAATCTATTACCTTTCAGTGGTAAAATACGTATAATAAAATAAATAACTTTTTTCTACACAATTAAAATGTACTAAAATGCTGGTCTTTGTATCAAATGTTTAAATAAGAACATTCATCCGGGTGGCTGTAGTCCAAAATTCAGATAAGCTAAAAGATGATGTATTCAGTGAAGACCAAATAGAACTTGTTATATTTCTTGAAAACAATGGTAATAGTTTTTTCTGTTTTAACTTCCGTCTCATTGTGTGTTTTCTCGTTACAGGTCAGGGGAAGAAAAACCCGGATATTCAAGTGTTGATTCAAAGATTACACAGCCACATAACTGAGTCTTCAATAGCGGGACGCAAGCTTATAGGCACCTTTCATACTTTCTAGACTTTGATTCTCACGCCATTGAGACACTGACTTCCACACCTTTCATACTCTTTAAACGTGGACCCACACACCTCCCACACAGTCTAAACGTTGATCCACACACCTCTTATACAATCTAAAGGTTGATCCACACCATCTGTCACCATGTCCTACTCTAGAGGCGGCCGCAGCGACCGTGACGACGACAACGGGCGCCGGGATGCCGGCAGCCCGACCGTGTTCCGGATCCCGCCCTACTACTACATCCACGTTATCGACCAGAACACCAACGTCACGCGCATCGAGGTCGGTCCGCAGACCTACGTGCGGCAGGAAAACCAGCGCGTCACGTTCGGCCCGGAGAAGATGGTGGTCGTGCCGCCACGACACTACTGCGGCATTGAGAATCCCGTCTGCCGGGACAAGGACGGCAACCCGGTGGTTGACCGCCTGGGTCAGACCAAACTCAAACACGCGGAACTTGAGGTCCGGCTGTCGCAGGATCCGTTCCCGCTCTACCCCGGGGAGGTTTTGAAATTCCCGGTGACGCTGCTGACAGTAGTGCCGGCAAATTCCGCGTTGAAAATCAGAGCCGTGCTGGATTTTCAAGACGATGACGGCGTACAAAGGACGGCCGGGGACGTGTGGTTGTTTGAAGGGCCGGGGACTTATATCCCCAGGAAGGAAACTACTGTAGACGAGACCATACGGGCTACAGTCATCAACGCGAACCAAGCCATAAAACTCCGGGCTAAAAAAGAATGCAAAGACCGCGAAGGAAACGACAGGGTGACGGGAGAGGAGTGGCTGGTGAAGAAAACAGGGGCGTATCTCCCGGGGGTGTTTGAAGAAGTTGTAGATATAGTTAAAGCATTTATTTTAACAGAGAAGAAAGCCCTGCGGATGGTGTCTCTGAAAACGTTTAAAGATGATTTCGGCATCGAGCGAAAGAATGGAGAGGAGTGGTTGATTACACTGAAGGACACAGAGGCGCATATCCCGGGGGTGTACGAGGAGGTGGTGGGGGTGGTTCCCATAACGACGTTGACCAACAGGCAGTACTGTGTGGTGCTTGACCCCGTGGACAAGGACGGCAAACCTCAGCTGGGGAAGAAAAAATTAATCCGCGGAGAGAAATCGTTTTTTCTCATGCCCGGGGAATCGCTGGAAAACGGTATCCAGAATGTTTATATCCTCGGGGAAGACGAAGGCCTTTTGCTGAAAGCCAATGAACAGTTTAAAGACGGAGAAGTCCAGCGTTATCCAGGAGACCGTTGGATGATCAGAGGCCCGCTGGAGTATGTTCCATCGGTGGAAGTGGACGTTGTGATGAAAAGAAAAGCCATCCCTCTCGATGAAAACGAGGGTATATACGTGCGAGATATTAAAACCGGAAAAGTCAGAGCCGTGACCGGTTCCACGTATATGATCAAAGAAGACGAGGAACTCTGGGAAAAAGAGCTGCCTGACATGGTCGAGAAGCTGCTCAACACCGACCTTGACCCCTTGGCCGACAGATTCGCCAAAAAACCGGACGAGGTTAAGTCTAAAAGTCAGGCCCGCGATAAAACCCGGGTGGTGACCTTCAGGGTGCCCCACAACGCCGCCGTGCAGATCTACGACTACAAGGAGAAGAAGTCCCGGGTCATCTACGGGCCGGAGCTGGTCATGCTGGGACCGGACGAGCAGTTCACCGTGCTCAGCCTGTCGGGCGGCAAGCCGAAGAAAAACCACGCGATCAAAGCCCTGTGTCTGCTGCTCGGGCCGGACTTCGCCACGGATATCATCGTGGTGGAGACCTCCGACCACGCCAGGCTCTCCCTGCAGCTGGCCTACAACTGGTACTTCGACGTCAACAACAAATCGGACGAAGAATCCACCAAGCTCTTTAGCGTGCCGGACTTTGTAGGCGACTCCTGCAAGACCATCGCCTCCAGGATAAGAGGAGCCGTCGCCCAAGTTCCTTTCGACGATTTCCACAAAAACTCGGCGAAAATAATCCGATCCTCCGTTTTCGGGTACAAGGATGGGAAAGTCGGGGACAAGTTGGTTTTCCCGCAGAATAATTTAGTGATTACGAACATCGATATTCAATCAGTTGAGCCTGTAGATCAAAGAACCAGAGACTCGCTTCAGAAGTCTGTTCAGCTGGCGATAGAGATAACGACCAACTCACAGGAAGCAACTGCCCGGCATGAAGCAGAGCGCTTGGAACAAGAAGCCAAAGGCAGGTTGGAGCGACAGAAGATCATGGACGAAGCCGAGGCGGAGAAGTCTAGGAAAGAGCTTCTGGAGCTACAGGCCAACAGCGCGGCTGTTGAGAGCACGGGTCAGGCCAAGGCCGAGGCACAAAGCCGAGCGGAGGCCGCGAGGATTGAAGGCGAGGCCGCCGTGCAGCAGGCGAGGCTCAAAGCCCAGGCCTCGACCATTGAAGCAGAGTCGGAGCTGGAGCGACTGACCAAAGCTCGGGAGGCGGAGCTAAGCTTCCTGCGAGACCAGAACCGGATGGAGATTGACAAGAGGTCGGAGATGACCAGCATCGAGGTCAACAAGTTCCGGCAGATGGTGGAGTCCATCGGCAGCAACACGCTGCTCGCCATGGCAACGGCTGGTCCCGACATGCAGGTCCGTATGCTGCAAGCACTGGGTCTAAAGTCCACCCTCATCACTGACGGCACGTCACCCATCAACCTCTTCAACACGGCTAGCGGGTTGATCGGGGACATTGTGCCGGCTAAGCGTAGAAAGCGTGAGACAAGCGAGGAGGACAATGATTAAATAAAATACTTAAAAAAAACTTTTTAAAAAACCACGTTTTTCTTGTGGACTAAAAAGTAGAAAATAACTATTTACATACATTTGATGACAAAAAACGTGGGTACGTTCACCATCAAATTTCCCGACCCATCTGCCCGACCCACGTTTTTTGTCATCAAATGTATGTAAATAGTTATTTTCTACTTTTTAGTCCACAAGAAAAACGTGGTTTTTTAAAAAGTTTTTTTTAAGTATTTTATTTTCTCCTTTTTAGTCCGTTGCTACACATGAAAAACGTGTTTTTTAAAAAAGTTTTTTATATAGTTTATTTTCTACTTTATCTAATGACTTGATTAAGTATGAATTGACTAAGTGTTTATAAATACACGGACTAAAAAAATCTTGAGCGACCAGGATTCGAACCTGGGTTGTCGCGGCCACAACGCGAAGTACTAACCACTATACGATCACGGCCAGCGCGCTCACATCGATTGGGGCCGAAGTAACTGTGTCAACAAGCCTTGTCGGTATCTTTAGAAATCATGTCCTCAATTTTATGGTCCTTTGGGCGTAATTAAATTAAGCTAATTACGGTCTCTAATTGCTAGTTTTTATGATTGCATCTGAAATTGTTAGGCGAAAGTAACCTGCATGCCAAATTTCAGATCTATAGAGCAATCAGAAGTGGGCTAATTTTCGATGTCAATTTTAACAACAAACACATCCACGCGAAGCTGAGTTAATAAAAACGTGTTAAAAAATATATTATAAAACTTTTAAACAAAATTATTATAACATCATTATTAAAAGTTTTGTGATCGCATATAGTTTCACAAAGCATTTTTAAAGAATGTAATAACATCATGTATAAAGTATTATACACCATTGTTTTGAAACCATAAACAATCCGAAGTATGAAACGTATGAAAATACCCTGTTTAAAATATTAAACTATATATTAAGTGTGATGGCTTGATTTTAAACTGCGTTAAGACACAGTTGTAAAACACCATTTTAATTATGAGTTATAACGCCGTATAAAATAATGTTTTGATCATCGTCTGAATAAGAGCTCAAATTTTAATTTTTTTCTACATTAAATGTGTACCTCTTTATGAATAAATTAAACTTTAAGCACTGCCCCTTCCCCCCCCCCCCCCTCTCACGTGATATATTTAAATAATTAATTAATCTATTAGTTTTTTTCATGTCCCCATTTTCCTTTGATAGCCATTTTCACTAATCCGCTTCAGTTTTTGTTGTTGTTTTTCTTCATCATTTCACATGCATTTTTACTATCACGAAAAGCCTCAAGAAGATCGTTTACATTAATTTTAATATATCAGTATGTTTATAATATGTGAATATTATATTCAATAGTGCGTTTTAGTCATTTTTGTATTACCGAAATTGTTGTATCTTCTTGATAATACTGTGCTTAATTAAAACGTTGATGTTGTATAATTGATTGTATAGCCCTTCCAAAGCGTCGCGTTGTATTAAATAATACTTTTGTGCGTGTGAGTTGTGTGTGTGTTACTATGTTTGACACTTTTCATTTTCCACCCCACAATATTAAATTAATAAAAGTTGTATTTGAAAAAAAAAATGAAGTGTCTTAATTCTTTCAAGTCAGTGTTATTTATTTATTCATTTTATTCATTTATTTATTCAATTACGGTAACAATAGTACGTATAGTTTAGAAATGTTAACGTTCGCAAAGGTTGGGGTTTGAAAATACAATCGTATAATGTGTCTAAGATTTGCTTAATTATAACCTATTTGAAAATAATTTACACATAATTATTTTTTTTAAATGATCAACTATGATGAAATGTTTTTTGCACACCCTTTCCTCGAGTACCACCCCTATTAATTTGTTTCTTTTGTCATTTTTTTATCCCACGCCGTCTGCTAGTAATTACTATCTCAGTGTCCATCTCCGATCATACACAGCTCTGTCTTATGTTATGACATGCAGAGCTGGCCAGGTACACGGCGAGTTGTTTACGTAAATAGTTGCCTGCATGATCAAATATTTATCCCGACTCTAGTTGCCAGGCAGGCTGTTTGGGCACGTCCATCATTCACGGTGCGCATGTCAAAATGTCGTGTTGACGATGGCGATATGTCTGTTTGCATCCGGTGCAATCGCCGGAAAACAGGGGTCATTATTTATTGAAAGCTGGGGTCTGTGATTGCCTGGAAGTGGTGTTATTTAACTGCAGTCATAAGTGTCAAGTGGGGTTATTTAACTGCAGTCATAAGTGTCAAGTGGGGTTATTTAACTGCAGTCATAGTGTCAAGTGGGGTTATTTAACTGCAGTCATAAGTGTCAAGTGGGGTTATTTAACTGCAGTCATAGTGTCAAGTGGGGGTTATTTAACTGCAGTCATAGTGTCAAGTGGGGTTATTTAACTGCAGTCATAAGTGTCAAGTGGGGTTATTTAACTGCAGTCATAAGTGTCAAGTGGGGTTATTTAACTGCAGTCATAAGTGTCAAGTGGGGTTATTTAACTGCAGTCATAGTGTCAAGTGGGGTTATTTAACTGCAGTCATAGTGTCAAGTGGGGTTATTTAACTGCAGTCATAAGTGTCAAGTGGGGTTATTTAACTGCAGTCATAAGTGTCAAGTGGGGTTATTTAACTGCAGTCATAGTGTCAAGTGGGGTTATTTAACTGCAGTCATAAGTGTCAAGTGGGGTTATTTAACTGCAGTCATAAGTGTCAAGTGGGGTTATTTAACTGCAGTCATAGTGTCAAGTGGGGTTATTTAACTGCAGTCATAAGTGTCAAGTGGGGTTATTTAACTGCAGTCATAAGTGTCAAGTGGGGTTATTTAACTGCAGTCATAAGTGTCAAGTGGGGTTATTTAACTGCAGCCATAGTGTCAAGTGGGGTTATTTAACTGCAGCCATAGTGTCAAGTGGGGTTATTTAACTGCAGCCATAGTGTCAAGTGGGGTTATTTAACTGCAGTCATAGTGTCAAGTGGGGTTATTTAACTGCAGCCATAGTGTCAAGTGGGGTTATTTAACTGCAGCCATAGTGTCAAGTGGGGTTATTTAACTGCAGTCATAGTGTCAAGTGGGGTTATTTAACTGCAGTCATAGTGTCAAGTGGGGTTATTTAACTGCAGCCATAGTGTCAAGTGGGGTTATTTAACTGCAGCCATAGTGTCAAGTGGGGTTATTTAACTGCAGTCATAGTGTCAAGTGGGGTCATTTAACTGCAGTCATAGTGTCAAGTGGGGTTATTTAACTGCAGTCATAGTGTCAAGTGGGGTTATTTAACTGCAGTCATAGTGTCAAGTGGGGTTATTTAACTGCAGTCATAGTGTCAAGTGGGGTTATTTAACTGCAGTCATAGTGTCAAGTGGGGTTATTAAACTGCAGTCATAGTGTCAAGTGGGGTTATTTAACTGCAGTCATAAGTGTCAAGTGGGGTTATTTAACTGCAGTCATAGTGTCAAGTGGGGTTATTTAACTGCAGTCATAGTGTCAAGTGGGGTTATTTAACTGCAGTCATAAGTGTCAAGTGGGGTTATTTAACTGCAGTCATAAGTGTCAAGTGGGGTTATTTAACTGCAGTCATAGTGTCAAGTGGGGTTATTTAACTGCAGTCATAAGTGTCAAGTGGGGTTATTTAACTGCAGTCATAAGTGTCAAGTGGGGTTATTTAACTGCAGTCATAGTGTCAAGTGGGGTTATTTAACTGCAGTCATAAGTGTCAAGTGGGGTTATTTAACTGCAGTCATAAGTGTCAAGTGGGGTTATTTAACTGCAGTCATAAGTGTCAAGTGGGGTTATTTAACTGCAGCCATAGTGTCAAGTGGGGTTATTTAACTGCAGCCATAGTGTCAAGTGGGGTTATTTAACTGCAGCCATAGTGTCAAGTGGGGTTATTTAACTGCAGTCATAGTGTCAAGTGGGGTTATTTAACTGCAGCCATAGTGTCAAGTGGGGTTATTTAACTGCAGCCATAGTGTCAAGTGGGGTTATTTAACTGCAGTCATAGTGTCAAGTGGGGTTATTTAACTGCAGTCATAGTGTCAAGTGGGGTTATTTAACTGCAGCCATAGTGTCAAGTGGGGTTATTTAACTGCAGCCATAGTGTCAAGTGGGGTTATTTAACTGCAGTCATAGTGTCAAGTGGGGTTATTTAACTGCAGTCATAGTGTCAAGTGGGGTTATTTAACTGCAGTCATAGTGTCAAGTGGGGTTATTTAACTGCAGTCATAGTGTCAAGTGGGGTTATTTAACTGCAGTCATTGTGTCAAGTGGGGTTATTTAACTGCAGTCATAGTGTCAAGTGGGGTTATTTAACTGCAGTCATAGTGTCAAGTGGGGTTATTTAACTGCAGTCATAAGTGTCAAGTGGGGTTATTTAACTGCAGTCATAAGTGTCAAGTGGGGTTATTTAACTGCAGTCATAGTGTCAAGTGGGGTTATTTAACTGCAGTCATAAGTGTCAAGTGGGGTTATTTAACTGCAGTCATAAGTGTCCGGGTCTGGCGAAATTTGAAAAAAAGGTGTAACTTCTCGTTCGGGGAGGGGGGGGGTAGACTTCCTTCGTGCGGGGGGGGGGGGGGGTTCTGCTCCCCCGAAGAGATGCCTGGAAGAAACTCTGGATGTAATAATTGTCAAAAATCAAAGTTAAGTACCTAGAACAAAGGTTCCGATTGTCTGGAACTAAGTTTATAATTTCGCAGAACTGGTATCGTAGTTGCATAGAACTAATTACAGTAATATTACATTTATATTAGTTTTACCTTCGGCTATTTTAGTCAAAAATGGCCAGAAATGATAGCCCAAAAACGTTTTACAGTTATATCAATAATAAAATACTGGTAGCGATGAGTAGACAAGAATCGGTCATTGGTGGGTGTTCAAAATTATATATATATATATATACATATATATATATATATATATATATATATATATATATATATATATATATATATATATATATATATATATATATATATATATATATATATGTATAAATTATGCCAGCCT